TGTGAGGTGACCGAGCTCCATAGTGGAGCAAACCCAGCCCAAAACGGGAATTTTCTGTGAAATGGGGATACCTGGGAGAGCCAAGGGAGTATGAGGGTGCCCAGGGTGCAGGCAGGGAGCACTGAGCCCTGCTCTTGGGTCCGTGGGGGCTTTCTGTCACCCCTTTGGAAAACCTCCCTCTTCTCCCGCTCATCAGACCTCATCTGCTTCAGCCTCCACCTCATGCGCCTCCCCCCTAACAGGTATCTCGCCTATGCTGATGTGCGTGCAAAGTTGAGATGGAAAAAAACCGGCAATAAAAGTCCCTCAAGTCCAAGGTTGCTCCAGCCCTATAGGAGCATTACAGCTGTTCACCAGTGCAGACTTGCTGCGTTAACGTTTCATGATCTTTATGGTTTTATTTCCCTTCTAGACGTGATGGGCTTCGGGAAGATCTGCATTTTCATCCCTGCTTCCTCTGTGAAGCACAAGTAAATCCTGAGCAGCACTGATAGAGAGGACAGCCGCTGGGGACCCTAAGTCTGCAGCTGTCTTTCACTTTCCGTTATAAAAGATTCATGTGGGCTCTTCCTGATAAACTCTTGTGCCCCTGCTTGTGCAAGGATTTGATAATTACGAAAGGGAAGTCTTTGGGATAAAAATGTGACTTATTGGCAGCCCCCCCCCGTGTTGCTCAGGCTTTAAAGACCGTTCCTCTCCTGCTGCTTGCATTCTGGAGAAGATGGTTGAAATCAATAACTTGTCAGGCCCGTGCAGTTGTTGGATGCACCTGAGAGTGGATCTGGCAATAGCCAAGGGAAGAGGGGTGGGCTAAGCTTCCTCAGCTGGCATAAAACTACTGAGGAAGGAGAAAATTAAGCTCTTTCAGGCAATTGTGATTCTCCTCTGGATGAAATCTGTAGATTTGAGGTCTGGCTGCATCAGCCGCTGAGTGCTTGGGAATCTTTGTGCTACACAACTGGCTGCCGGGGTGTACCCGTCTTCTGTGGTGCTGCAAGGTCAGGGCTCAGATCCTGGCAGTGTGAGTTATAATAACAACCAGCATATTTTATATCATTTTTTATTTTATACTTTGGATTTCTGTTTGGGTAAGGAGGGCATTTGTGTTTAAGTACTATGAAAAACATAATGTGAACTGTTGAGCTTTGAACATGAGGAAATGTCAGGTTTAAATAAATTTTGCAGTGCCTCTAAAAGCTTAAATTCATTTCTCGTTTGTGCACGCCATGACACTCTAATTGTATTACAAAGGGCTTACAAACAAAGTCATTGTAATTAGCAGGAAACTTGTATGTAACTGTTTGTTCTTGGGGTTTTTATTCTTTGGTTAATGTGTACTGGAAATCTAAATGAAGTATTGGAAACGGATTGTTAAATAACTTAAAAATCAGTGTAGCATGTTGGTTGTGTTTAGGTATCAAATTAATTCATCGAGAGGTGGCTTGCAGTGGTAGACTTTGCTAATTTTACATGAAAGACAATGAGTAGAACAAGCTAGCAATTCTGGATCCTTACAATAGATGTGTAGTTTGATTTTTCTTTCTGTCCTGTTGTGTGCTGATCGTGCCTAAGGATGTTGTCTGGACGTCCCTGCTGTATCTAATACATCATCAGGTGTCCCTTTAACTCCAATACCTTGGTCACTGGTACTCAAAACCAGGCTTTTCCTTGTGACACCAATTCAAACTCCGGTTTCTTCTGCGCGAGAACGCGTGCGTTACTTTGGCCGTAATCTGCAGTTTGCAGGCAGAGTTCTGCCTGCACTTCAAGGTTGTCTGGTGTCTGTGCTGTGGGCAGAATAATCTTTTGTTAAAAAAAATTAATACTGTTAATTTTCTAACCTTGGTGCTATCATTCCCTGACTTTAGGCTTGTTGGCACTGGGACATTTGGGACAGCTAATCTGAATTTACCAAAAGTGTGGCTGTTCAGTAAAATTGTTAAAGCCCTGATTGACACTGCTGGTAGGGCTGTGGCCCTGGCCCGCTGACCCAGCTTCGCTGCTGGTGTTACTACAATTCTCAAGCGACATTTGCTTCTCTTATTTTTACTGCTTTGGAGATGGTAATTAACACTTGCTACTGATACATTTTAAATTGTGTCAGACCCAAAATTCTGACCTGTTCGAGGGTTGATTATGTCATGTTGTGTTTTGTCACGTTGCGTAGATGGCATGAGTCGCCTTTGTGCTCGTCATGCGCTGAACAGAATGGAGAAATTGTTGCTTTCTGTCATTAACTTCAAGTGGCGAGTTTGTTTGGTTTACACTTGGATGGGCTCCACCCTATTCCATAAATCCAGCTTTCTGCCAGAGCTATTTTTGTTCGGGGTCACTGGCTGACCCAAGATGGGTTGTGCTGGATTTAGTTCCCAAGTGAGCCCAGATGTGGGTGGAACTGAAATCATACCAGTT